AGAGCGAGAACAAACTTGTCTAAGAGAATGACAACAGAGGGCTTTGACTTGAGGCGGGATCACCCTCTCTGAATCGAATGAAGAAGTACTTCCGAAAGTCCTTAAAGTCAGGATAAATTTTCCCCATCGCTTCAAAGTTTTGTGGGTTGCCATTTTGTGTATTTATACTTTGTACAGTTTTTAAGGACTAAGTATCACTTGCGAGCGAACTAACAATAGTATTGAATAATTGAACAGCGACAAGCCAATGAGATGGCTCGTTTTTCTTAGCAAACATCCCTGTTAATTAGTCAGAGACATTTAAACAGTGGTCTTTCTATTTGAGACCAATTTTGCTTTAATCGCAGAGGACTAGAGCATCCATCACGTGGAGAAGCTGTAGTATTGAGTTTTGTTTCATCTCTTAGGTCAAACTCGACGAGAAAATCTTTTGAAATTGCCATGAGCGCTGTATCTGAGAATGCCCCATCCAACAGTACCCTACGCGCGCCAAAAATGCGCCCGCTGCCGGAATCATGGAGTGGTGTCTTCGCTGAAAGGTCACAAACATTATTGTAAATGGAGGGACTGTGTTTGCCCCAAGTGCCTGTTAATAGCAGAGAGACAGAGAATTACCGCCGCTAGGGTGGCCCTTCTGCGCCATCAAACCAGAATGGAACCGTTCGAGTCTAAAGGCTGTGGACCATGCGTTGAATTTACGCATGGAGGCGCGGATCACGAAGTAGTATTCCCTTCGTTCACGCCGAGAGTGAACTCGGTTTTCTCCGCCAGTCCTCCATCCGAACCAACACGACCAGCTTCTTGCCCTGTAACTGAAGGTAATAAAAAGATAGTTATGATGCTTCTTTTTTGTATAGTATGTCAATACAAAGTTAGCCATTTAAAAAATGGTACGTGATTTGAAAAAATTAGTATGTGATTTCCAGGTGTCATCAGGCGTGAAACAAACTCTAAAACGGAAGACGATTTGAAAGAACAAAAGATCAGCTGCGGTTGAAATCAACTAAAAAAAAATTCTTTTGTCTCGGTGAAAGTGTTGTGTAATCTTAACAGTGAGTTGTCTATAAAACCATTTCTATCGATCTTTTTGTTTCGCGTTGACGGTAATTCTAAGCCCAACTTTTCTAAGTGTACAGCACTAAAACAAATTTTAAATTACATCATCATTGAAAGAGGAGAAAGGAACATACCAAGAAGATAAAAAACATTCGAATTAGTTTTTTCTTGTCAGAGGTGTCTCATAAGATTTAATTTAATGCACATGTCAATTGCGTAGAGTTTAAGTGCTATATTTAAGTAGAGAGAAAAAAACGAATTTTGTAATTGAAGGAAATGGACTGTAGTAAAGAAACAGTAATACATGTGGTTATTCTCTTTGGGAAATTTGTTATAAATAGGTAATTTCTATTCATTCTCGAATAGTTCATTTGATCGTATGTTTCCGAAAGTATTTATCATTTAGTTTAATGAACTGCACAAACTGCACAAACAATCAAACCACCTGTTGCCCACTTGAGCGAGTACAAAAATATCTAGACTTTTTATCAAAATTAATTACTTCTCTGATAAATTGTATAACTGCTTGCTCGTATGTTGAATTTGAACGCTACTTTTTCCTAAAGGGAGGTTGGTACCTATTAGAAATTATTCAGTGGTACCGGTATGGTTCGATAATTTGTGCTAAACGATTCGTTCTAATTCTTGTGCTGACAGCGCTTTTAAATTGATTTTGTCTGACGTAAAGAGGAAATGTCCGCCTATTATTTCCACTCACTTTTACTGAAGGAGAGAGATGTGAAAAGACAACAGAAAGTTCTACTGACATACATTTTTCGGTTTGTCTGTTTAACGAGTTTGTCTTCAATTGAAATGTTTGGCAGACGGTGCAAATAATTCAGTTACTTTGATTGAAAGTGAAAAGGTTAGGGTTTTGTTAATCAAATTGTGAATCCTAACTTCTCTTCCATGATTCATCTTACAGAGAAAAACTCACAACAGCCAGTGTTCATTAAAGAAGAAAAAATTGATCCGGAGTATTCCAGCAATGACACTCTTCCCGCAGACGACCGAGGTGATGAACCTCCTCCCAAAAGATTGGCAAGAAGCGCCTCACCGCAGCTTACAGACGGGAATGTTTCTCGCTCCCCGTCACCTCGCTTTCACGTGCATGAAAGCTGTCGACCACAAGCAGATCATGTGATCAGGGAGAACGATAACTCTTCGTTTCAGTTGCCATGGAGCTCTACTTTCCGAGACCAAGATGATTTCGACTACACCGTGAAGCTTCTTCAAAAGAGTCTTGGTGAATCTGCCTTCAAAAGACGGAAACCTCCCCATCCTGTCGAAGTTCTCAGCAAAATATTTCCTTCACACAAAGAAAACGTATTGAACTCGTTCTGAAAGGCTGCAGTGGTGATTTGGTACAAGCGATCGAATGTATTCTAGCTGGCAAGAGTCATTCCATCGACTTTACGGAGCCAGCCTCGTCCTGCCTTCCCTCTGCCCCTTTGCCTTCTAGTTTTTCCAACATTCCGTTCACGGGAGTTAAACAAACTCTGCTTCCAGGCGTGCCTCTCTCTTTACCTCTTACGTCATTCAACGGTGCTACCAAGACTACGGCGCACCCACTGACCTCAATGGGAGCGCAGGCTCATGGTGGACTGAGGTTACCTCCCATGATACGAAGCCGTTCGTTACAAACTCAAAGAAACGAGCATGAAGAAAGAGAACTGAATGGATATCATGCGCACAACGGCCTCATTGGGCCAGCATTTTTGCCGCCTTATCGAGGTTCGCCTCCGCTTTCTAGAGAGAACAACTTTTTGGAGAACGAAATCTCGGTTTGTTTTCGTTGTGGTACAAAATCTCGATCAGGTGACCGATTTTGTGGGAAATGTGGGGCGGACCTTAAATGTTAACAAGACGTGTCATTTGTTTGACTGTGAGCCATTAGTTTTGGTGAGGGTCGGGTATGTTGAATCGGGCTTACCAGAAAACTCCCCGAGAAAAGTTTAAAAACAGCGGCTTTACCGTTTTCGTTTTCTTCTAGTTATATCAGTTTTGCAGTGGGGCGTCGTAAAAAGAAAGTTTTAAAAAGCGGTTCGTGGTCTTTCCTAAGAAGTTACCAGTAAGCCTCGATATGGTGTATTCGCCTCATTCGTGTCCAAATAATTGAAGCACATTTTTCAATCGGTCAGCAAAACTAGTTTCGAAAATAATTAATCCAAGAAAGGTCACAATATTTACTCTTTTATGTGCAAATTCCTGATGAGGAGTTGTAAATGTTGTTGGCAAAGGTGTTACTTTTTTCTCAAGGCAGGATCAAGAGACAAAATCACCTTTTTAAAAGAAACTTATCTGTGAAACCATCTCGAGTCCTTTATCTAATAAAAGGCATAAACGGAAATAAAAACGCATTTTTTTTTCTAACTATTACAGTTTCAATCTATTCTCAAAATCAAGGTATTGATCGGAAGGTCACTGTAAGCAATAAAAATGTCAACCAGATTGACTTATCATGATTAAAGGGGGGAAGTTTCCTAAGAGACCGTCATACGGCGTAAATTGGCCACCGTAAAGAGTTTCACAAGCTGATACGATGACCAAAGATACTCGTACATATCCAAACGAAAACACGCTTTAATGTACTTCAAATAAAAAGTTACTAAATTTATACGTAAAGAAATTGGCAAACGAGAAAACAAAGTAAAGATTAACCAAAGACACTTCCAAACGCTATAGGAGGCCCGGGAACAAATGGCTGGTTACAGACGACAGAGAACGATTTAAAGCGATTTTGAAAAATGAATCAGAGCAGTTAAACGAGATAGCCGAATGAATGAAATTTATGGTATAGAACTTAGGGAAATGATGTTAAAACAAAGTAGTGGATTATCGACGAAAGTAATGCGCGTGAAAACAAAAGAACAAATATAGATAAAAATACGATGGAAAGTGAAAAGTTACAAATTTACAATTAATTACGTCAATATGATTTTTGGCGGTAACAGATCAAGCTTCGAGCGCTAGCACGTCGTGGTTTCTTTTATCGCCTGCACTCAATCATGTTTGCTTCTTGTAGTAACTAGTCTTCTTATCACTAATAAGAAACGCAGAAGCAGTGTGCAATAGTTTTTTATTAAGAAAGACTCAATTTCAACTCCAGCTCACATTATTCTGAACATACTCAGTTTCTTTCCAGGAGTGGTTTCAAATACCTCAAAGATAGGCTAGCCCTACATCAATAAAGTAACACTAGACTATCACACGGGCATTTGGCAATCAATGAGTCACCTTTAAGAAAAATATATCAGGTCATATGTGTAGAAAGCAAATTAATTTAAGTGGAATAAACTTGGATTGATAATGACAATTAACACAAAAAATTATTTAAACCAGTAATAATGAGTAAGACACAGCATAATTTTTTCCAATGGATATTAAGCCACGCTAAAGAAAAACTGAGCAAATGTCAATTTAAAATCTCTCACAACCTGTTAATTAAGAACAAGTTCTGCCGGTGATCTTCATCCTTACCGGACAAGACTGTTCAGAATGATAAAGGCTGGAACTCGACTTGCAGGCCTGCTCTCGAAGGTTTATTAATCATGGCTCAATACATTTTTGTTCTTGTTCTTATAATGCTCCTTCTTTCTGTTTATGGATGGCAAACCAAGAGACTCTTAAAGGCTTTTTTCAGTTGTACTGAGCCTTTTCATCATTATTATTTTCATTATCTGACTGATTATCTGGCTCAGTAGTATACTAACATTGTATCACCATGCGGGACACTATTTCCTAAGCAGAAGGTATGTCATTACACAAAAATGTAATTAATTATTATTAATAACATGGCAATCACAGGGAATACAACTACATAATACAAGATACAAAACAGCTAACCATTCCCCTTAACATGGAATAGCTATATTTTACAACATCTCTGGCTGATTTGGCAATATATATTGTTTGTTTTCAAGATGTACATCATTCTTTATTATCTATCTTCCTTTCAGGGAATGCTGCCCATTATTGGAAACCTTTTCTAGCCTCTCAAAGTGCTTCCTTGCATTGCGAATATTAATCTGTGTAGCAGCAGATGCTAAGAGAGAGAAGAATTTACACTTCAAGCAGATGTTGAAAATTCACTCATTATAGAATCAAATTCATAGCATATTCATATTTCTCTGGAATCTGAAGATGTAAATACTTTAGAGAGGGCTATGTTTAATAAATGACTTGAAGATTTGTTTCTTTAGTGTACAAGCTATTAAGATTGATTGCCCTTTTTAACAACCTGTTTTTCAGTTGAATGCTCTAAGCCAGGTTTGTGGAAGCAAATTGGTCAGTGTCAACTCAAGAGATTTTTTATTCCCTTCACAATGGTACTTAACAGTTACATACAGGTTGTAAAAAGGTTTTTGCTGTCTGGTCTGTTGGTTATAGTATTGCTGTAAATAGGGGAGTTTGAAATGTAAAAAGTAGAGCAATTCCTGTATCAGGAACCAACTCCAAGGATGAGCTAGTTGCACATAGGTGTCACCTATGAGAAAGTTCATTGTACATATACTTACGGATTGTGTTGTCAGACATGATAACCATCACATATGTATTTGGTGTAAAGACATCAATAAATGCAGCAAATGTAGAATTGCGCACCTCCATGCTCTGAAAATGGGCATGCAGTTTACTATGGAGAAAATTAAGAGTGGAAGGTCAAGATTGATTATCCGTGTTACACAATACAGGGGGCTTCAAGCAGTTAAAACTGGAGCATAAGCTCAGTAGTGATGCGATAAAGCATCCAAGTCCATTACACTGGAAAACTTGACCTTCCTCAACAGGACTCAACTTACCTACAGCTTAACTTGAACTGTTTGATAATGTTACTAATTTTTTCAAATCTGTGTACATCCTTATGGGACTTGCGTTGACAATAAGAAATAACCTGAAAAATGAACACTAAGTGTCATTCAAATGTTGTTTACAAAGAGGGTCACAACAACAAACTCAAACTAAGTTAAATCTACCGTTAACAATTTACAAATAACCCTTTAATTCTTAAGATCTCGTTAGCCATATAATAGTCACTATGTTAGTTCCAAGAATTTGGCATTGGATCAACTAATAATCCCCTTGTTGATACACTTATTTATTCTCATTACTTGTCTGCTTGATACTGTATTGATATTGTAAAGAGAAATTCTGTCTCAGTCACCCATGCGAGTTAAAGGGTTTAAAGCTATTGAATAGTTGACAGATTTGATAGCTGATTGGTTAGAAAGATCAACTCTAGATCAAGAGTCCACTGTTTAACCCTTTAACTCCCATGAGTGACCAAGACAAAATTTCTCCTTACAATATCAATACAATATCAACCAGATAAGTGTTGAGAATAAAGAAAAATATCAATTTGAGGATAATTAGTTGATCCAATACTAAGTTCTCTGAACTAACATTATGAGAATTGTATGGTTGATATTTAGGAGAATTATAAATTTGATCTGGGAGTTAAAGGGTTAAGACTTGGCTAGGTCCTTGTGTTGTTTTCTATAGTGAGAAAATAGTAAAGTATCTAATAAAGCCTGTAGTGTAAAAAGCTATCAGTGGACTGTCAGGAAAATTGAAAAAATGCCAATGTTGACAGACTATTGTAGATTAGCAGCCCATTTCAATAAAAACTACAATGTAGGTATTTGGTATATCAGGGGATGCTAAAGCAGGATCAGGCTTCCAGGTGTTAACCCTTCACTTCCTAACATCAGTGGACACATTCTACTTTAATTAAATACCTACCAGAAATGTGGCCCTCTCAAACAAAAGGACTTCATCTGCTTCAATGATTGAAGCAAAGTTCTCCAGATTCTGTTCCAGTTGTGTCACATTTGGTATCAGCTGATAGACAATGGATGACCAAGCCTTGTAAAGAGTTTCATCCCAAATTGATGTACGGAAACATGTACATTCCAGTGGCTTTGAGAGCCTTTTGAGGTCTTCTTCCCGCTCTCTAAAAATCTGAAAAAAAAAATCGTGTCTTTTGGAGACATTTTCACAACCCAACCTGTGTTTTGCAAAGCTAAATTTTTAGTACCTTCTGTCCAAATTCATCAGAGCTACTATGTTCCTTTTGCTCCATCTAGGGGCCCTTTAAATTTGTGATCTCGCCCACATATCTCACCACCTGTTTTCATGATTACAGATTTGCAGTAGGGAAAAAATTGCCATCTGGTGACATTGTGAAGGCTTCATTGTACAACAAAGAAGAGATCATATTTAGCCCCATAAAAATATGTTGAGTGACTTTTTTTCAAGACTGCATGAAAGCTTAAATTATGAAGTCAATGTCTCTATTGCTATCTTATTAGGCTGCAAATGTACTCACTGCATCTCTCTGATCTTCTTGTACCAAATCCATTTTGTGAATAAGGCAAAATATCTTGGCATCAGGTGAATTCTGAAGAATGGCCTCTAGGCAAGTCTGGTAATAGTGCATATCTTTCTCAAGTTCACGACTTTCCACATCAAACACATAAATTAGAACTTCAACATTTCTAAAAATGTTGTCCCTCTGACTTGTGAAATAATTCTCCATAAATGCCTCTTGTCTGGGAAGTGAAAATAACACAATTGCTACTACTCCATTTTTTATGAAGATTGGAAGAGAGTCAATATATCAGCCCCCCCTGGTATTAATGGAAGGCCAGAGTTATCTTATCTCTCTAATCTTTCAGATTCTTTCTTATAGAGGTTTACAAAATAACTGAAATATTAGGAGCACCCTGATTGGTCAAAAACCTCTTGTTTATTGCAATAGTAAACCCATAGGAAATTGAAACATCCTAACTCTAGATAGACCCAACATTCTATCAATCTATTGTTGTAATAACCAACTTGGAATGTTCGGAGAACACCCAAAAAGTTTGCAAGTCACTCACCTCTGGCTTGTGAATTACAAACTTTTCCTATGTTCTCCTAACATCCTACATGGGTTATTAAGCTGGTAAACATATAGAAAGTGCGGTCTACTGCTTAATTAGAAAGTGTGATTAGAGGTTAACAAATTAACTACAAAAAAAAAATGGTTGCCTGTATCAGCCAATTGTCCAGCTACTAATTACAATAAAAAATATTTCTAATTAGTTCAGTTACTACACTGAAAATAATGAGAATATTGGTCAAAATATGTTACAATTCACAACAACTACATCGTAAAATGACGGTAAACTTAATGGTCAAATTACCCTCCACAATCCCAAAGATTGAGAACCAAATTTCCAAGAAAACGAACATGAGAATGCTCCACGTCAACTGAAAATAGAAAAAAATTAAAATTACTCGTCAGAATGGAAAGTAAGAGGCCCTGCAATTTCACACGAGAGAAAAATTCTGAAGTGATGTTAACTTTACAAAATAAAGATAAAGAGCCTCAAAGTGCGGGTACAAAAAGTAAACTGTTAACAACAGTTAGATACTTGGATGATTTGGTTTTATCAACGGAATTGGTAATGTATAAATACATATACATATATTTATAATAAATTGCCTTCGTAAAAAGGTTTCTGAAGCTGACGTTTGGATCGTTAACCCTCCGTCAGAGCGCGAAAGATAAAATACTTACTTGTCGCTCCAAGTCTTCTTGTGTCTCTTGCAATGTAGTTTGCAAATATTATCGACCTCATGCTCGTTTTTCCTGAGCCACTTTTACCCATAAGAAGAACCTTCAAGAAAAATTCGCAAGATGTAACATGCACGATGATAAGTAAGTCACAAGATTTTCCCATTAGTAGCATATATAGGCGCAATTATCTGATAATAAAAATACATAAAATATCAGAAAAATACCTTCTTCTTCATCTTGACGTTCTTTTCCATCAGTTCTGATTAAAAACTTTTCGTAACTACGTGAATTCTCGTGACAGTCAAACTGCATGAGTTCTCGCGAGGAAGTCATGTGAGGATGTGAGAGGATGCGAGGAACCTGCAATATCCCTAGGTCAGCGGAATTGCGTGGGTATAACTCTATGTCATGTTTGCAAAATTGAGTTTTACCCTAAACGCAAGGCATTAAGCACCGTTCAAAACAAAGATGGCAGCGGACCGGATGATGAAGCAGCACTGAATTCTAACGTTTGTGTGGAAAATGGGAAAAAGTGAAGTCGAAAAAGCACCTAGTGCACCCAAAAACAAGAGAGAAAAAATATATTCCCCTACTAAGGTACTGTAGTAGAAATACTTTCAATGCAGTTTAATGTCATGTCCCAAATGAAAACATTTGCCAATTTTACATCTCAAGACTTAGATTTCTGCCTTGCCTTTTTCTAAGCTGCATAAAATGTTCCATTATGCACGCCTGTTGCTTTTTGAAATATCTCAAAGCTAAAATATTGCTCGCAAAAGCCAAACACCACTGTTCAAGTGATAATCTCTTGCCTTGCCTTGATCTACGTACAAAATAGTACTGAAAAACCTTTTTTCAGGTGATAATCCGTCGTCTCCCTCCATCGTTTACCGAAGAGCAATTGAAAGAAGAACTTGGAGAGTTTCCTGAACATGACTTTTTCTATTTTGTTGGCAGTAGCATGAGGTAAGCTGATCTTAATTTGGTTAATACGATACTGGTAGGGGATTCAGTGCATAAATTGTATCTCGGCTTCCACAATATTAAGTCGCTTGTAGCATTCCTACTTCTCCTAGGTGGAATTCAGTTGTAATCCGGCTTATCCCAACCTAGCAATTTATAAAGTGAGCTTCTTCAGAAATGCTCCTGCTAACAAACTTTCCCCTCCAACCTTATGCCCCCAAGCCAGAGCTTAAATTTTTTGACAATCCCCCTCTTAATATTTTATTTCCTTCTCTCCCCTTTTCCTATGGAAAAAATATCTTATTTACGATAGGGGACAACATCTTTTCTGTTTTGTGTCAATTTTAATAATTGTTTTCTTTACTTTCTGTTTACAGCTTTGGTCCTGTTTCTTTTTCAAGAGCATACATCAACTTTAAAAATAGGGATGATATAATCAAGTTTAGAGATCAATTTGATGGGTACTGCTTTGTGGACAGCAGAGGTATGCTTAGGAATAGTATCTTGGTGGTTTTTTTAAATTGTTATTCTGACTGGTATTGATAAATAACTGAATAAGCAGCCAGTCAACATCCTTTAACCTATCATACTGTTTCAGTGTGTCAAGCTCTCTGTTACACTAGCCTGTTCAAAAAAAACCTTGTGATTGTTCTGTAAGTCTTTCTCTTAGTCTTTCTGTTGTTATTTCTTTCTTCTGTGGATCAGTCTTTTACCTATCTTTTTTCCCATGTGTTTCTGAGACTGTGGCTTAGTTAGTCACACTTTCAATCACTTCATCAGGCAGTCATTCAAGTTCCACAAACAATCCATCATGCACTCATGAGTTTCTCTGTCAGTGAGATAAGTCACTCAGGCTGCCTGTCATGCATTCCTAAACTAAAAGAAATTTAGGTGAAAACATTTTTTTTTTGTTTTTTTAGTTCTTGATGCTCATGCTCAAATCCCTATTTTTGAACAGTTGTTCCAATAGTCATTAAGTATCAAGTGGCTTTTTTTCTATTGATGCCACTAGTCTTTTTCTTTAACATCAGGTGTAGAATATCCTGCTGTTGTGGAATATGCTCCTTACCAAGCTGTACCTAAAAAGAAAGTCAAAAAAGATCCAAAGATTGGAACTATTTTGGAAGGTGTGCACAAGATTTTTTTCCTTTCCCTTTCGGGATACTAGGCATGTATTACTGATCTCTTCACAAAGTACAGTGCAAGCTGGTGGGAAAGTCATTATCAATTTTGCTTGCTAAGAAGGTCAGGATATCTATTTGTCAATGTCTCTGAATTATCCTGCAAGTGAGATAGCCACAGACAATCTCAAATGCTACACCCTCTACACCCTGACATCAGTATGCATATTCTCCCTACTTTTTTCCACACAATTCTGAAGGTGCTGGCAAAGAGAATTTGTTTAACAATTGGGAGCTTGTTAAGTTGGTGATCATTCCCTCTGTTCTCATGAACTTAATTTTTGATCCAGGGGTGATATTGTCATGAGAAATTAGATACTAGGCAGTCTTTGACTATGAGATCATGTTTTAATAGACCAGGCCCCTGTTGTTTGAAGGAGAAATAATGCTATCCACTGGATAAAAGTCTATGCAGTAGATAATGCAGTACATTTTGCCATCACTTTTGCACTGGATAGCAATTTATCCGTTGGATTGCATAATCTGCCCTTTATACAACTTGGCCCAGAAGGAAATGGCATTGGGTAAGGCTAGGGCAAGGCTAGGACAAAGGTAACATCTGAAAAGAAGCTGTGTTTTGGACATCAGATGGGTAAAGGAAAGGTTTAGGACCCAAATTTTGTCAAGATGGAGCATCAGAAAAGAGCTAGTATGGCACAAGAGCAGGCCAAAGTTGGAGTACTTCGGAGGCATTATGCATGGCTATAATGCTAAAATGACAGATGATTTTGATGATTTTATTTAATTTCCTTTCATTTTTTATATCATCATCAGATCCTGACTACAAGGCTTTCCTGGAATCACTGAACAAAGATGAGGAGCCTCCCCCAAGTGTTGAGGCTCATTTGGAGGAGATTGAAGCTAAGAAATGTAATAACATTGTTTTATTTGTCATCGTAAATGAAGAATTTAGAGAATGAATAAATTGTATGTATGTGAAATTTTACTTATTACAAGATTCATCATATACATAGACTTTTTATAGACATCTTTAAGAAAGAATTTAGAGATTTAATTGTTTGTATGTATGTGGGGTTTCACCAAGTACTCAATTCTTTACATACTTATACTTGTCATCTTGAAATGGAAATTTGGGATTAATTAAGTTGCATAAATGTGGAATCTCTCTTATCACTAGCTTCATCCAGTGCAGCAAAAAAGAGCACTCCACTACTGGAGTACTTGAAGATGAAGAGAAGTCCTCGTGGAAGGCCTTTGTCATCTGTAAGTACAATGAAATGTGCAAGAAAATTAAGACAAGCTTGCATGTTCATGTATCCAAGAGCTTGTACACCAGGCTGTACAGTAAATCCCCACCCCTCTACCCTAAGTGACAAGTTTCTACCTGACAGGCTCCCACTCTCTAATGCGTCTCCATCCCTCCCTCTCCTTTCAAACAAAGTCTATGAATTAGACTTGGTTATGTGTCAGTGAAAGAAACACTGGTGCTTGAAGCTTGCATTCAGTGTTTTCCAGAAGACCCGGCGGCTGGATTCTTCCCCGGCTACTCGTACCTGAAATTCTGAATGTTTGACAGAGAACCCTCCCTACTTCTTTCTACTTTATATATGGTCTATTTTAAATCTTATGATCTCCTCTGCCTTTTCTTCTGATCACAGCGGAATATTTCTGACAAGAAGAGAAGGCCCGACCGAGAGGAACTACCGAAGGTAACATTTCATTGTCGTTGTCTTGTTTTGTCTTGCGTTAGCTATTGTATTAGATGTCATATGTTGTTAAGTTTACATGCTTGTGAGATACGCTGTATGACGTGGTTTTCTACAATGTTTTGCCACGTTTGTCTCCGCTCGCCTTAGATACTGCGCCTGTCCAGCGGGTGAAAGTAAGTCTAATTATCAGTGCAAATCCTATTCGGAAAGTAGACAATTTTCTCTCACGCTGTTGCCCTCCTTCTGCAATTGCGACGCGCTGTGCATACATTAGTAGCACTGGTTAACAGATTTGTCATAAAATTACTGTTGCTTCTCTTCTGTTAACTCGCGTATTTTATTATTTTAACCAGTCGCCGAAGAAATCGTCGAATTTGTCTTCCAGCAAAGATTCTGGTGGTAAAAGTGGCAGCCATCCGCCAAAGGAGGAAAAGCCTAAAGACGAGTATGACAATTAAACTTAATTTTTATGAAAAAAGAAAGCATTACTGAAATAGTAGCACACGCAGAGATCGAATGGTTAGCGCGCGGAACTCTGGGTAGGGAGGTGCAGGTCACTGTGTTCTTGAGAAGAGCAGGAAACTAAAAATAAAGGATAATCATCAGTAGTATGGGCTTCTTGGTTATCCATTCCGGAGAGTTTTTGAGTATTTTACCGTTTATTTATCCAGCACTTGGCTGGCTTTTCTTGTTATCCTTATTAGGTGCGAATGAAAATTAAAAAAAAAAAACAGTAGTGTGCAAAGAGTTTTACATTAGTTTACAAAGTTTTCCGGTGTCATCTTTTATTTTAATGGCTGTTACTTATCGACAGAATCCTTATCCATGAGATGATATTGTCTCGAGTGAAACTTTTCAAAATCACGAGTTTGATTTTTCCAATGTTTTATCCAGCAGGAAAGATGCAAATGCCAAAGAAGGAACTCGAAAAAAAGATGAGCAGGATAGAAAAGGCAGCAAAGACACAAAGGTAATGACAGTGCTCGTTAAAAGCACAGAGTCTTCATACTGAAAATTATAAAACGAGTATAAATTTTGTCTAGGGTGTCCTTGGTTTGACTAGGGGTCTCCATCGTCTAACTTGTACCAAGTCTTCTGTGAGACAAGCTTCCGTTGATGGATTGGAAGGGTAAAAAAGAGGCTTTCCTTTCTATTCCGCCTCCCATTCATCCCCTTCATAACTCATCTTTTTCTCTCTCTCGCGCGCGCTTTTCCAGGTACAGTTAAGAGACTTGTTGGCTACAATGTGCCTAACCGGGTCTTAGAAAGTAAATGATTTCATGGCTGGCAATCGCCGAAAACCTCCCTCAAATTGCCTCACCGATGAAAGGAAGATGGAGGTCGGGGGGGAGAGGGAAGACGAAGACGGGGACGCGTTAAGCACCGCTAAAACCTGTGAGCGGGCTATCGTTAGGAGATAATACTGAGTGCATGTTTTTAAATGTGAGTACTTGACTGCCTGATATTTTCATTACACTAAAGGTTTGCTGTTTTTGTTTTGAAACAGGCATCATTGTCTTCCAAAGAGAAGTCTGATTCAAAATCTCCTGCGAAAGGAAAAGAGGAAAAGGTTGGTTGCATCTGAGATTCTTTTTCTCGTTTATCTTGTAAAAAAGTTACATGTCATATGTGAATTCCGTAATTTTTATTGATTTTCTCAGGGTCGACCTGAATCAGGAAGATTCGGAAGGAGGTCCGACAGCCGACGCTCCGACGAAAGACGACCAGAAGACAGACGAAATAGCAATCGTAGAGACCGAAGAGATACTGGTGATAGTTCCGGAAGCGATCGAGTACGTGACGATCGCTCCCGAAAAGAAAGCGGGAGTGACGGAAGCGGGCGACGCGATCGAAGACCAGAGAGTCGACGGGACTCGCGACCAGCTCGAGAACCCGAAGATAAGCCGAAAGGAAGAGAGCCCTTACCTAAAGCAAGCGATGCTGATAAGGGCGGGAAAAGTGGTGGGGAGAAAGAGAAGGAACAGAAAAAAACCACATCAAAGGCAAATGAAACGGAGAAAAACAGAAAGGAGGAAGACAGCTCAGTAGCTGGTGATGCAAAATCCTCCAGAGAAGAAGAGAAGGGAGCGGCCAAAGACGAGAAAGTGCGAAGCGAAGAGGAGACGAGTAGGCAAAGACGATTACGAAACAAGGTAAATAAGCGTCAAGTAGCAGATTGGCAATTCGATTTTCAATTTTCAGTTTTTTAAATCACACTAAAGTTTGCTTTGCATGGCCACACGTTTTCCCGCCCATAAATTTTATTTAGGTCGTCATCTGCCATCTTTTTTTTCGTTACCCCGCGCATGACTCTTCAATACACACTTTGCATGAACAACGTTAGTGACTTCTTTGGAGGAGACCAGTGCTAGTACGGTTCCCTGTGAGATGTCATTCCAAGTCTGTTATCTTGGGCTCTGTTATTCGGCCAAGGTATAGAAAATCAAGATTGAGTTACCACCAGTGAAGAATCTGTTCCTGACATGCTGCCACTAAAAAATCTGATTAACTCTGTGCAGTAGGATTCTTGGCCGTCAAAAAATGTTGTATTTGTAATTTTCTTCTTTTTTTTTTATTTCTGTTCACGAGCGACAAGTTTATGTCTGTTTTATCTTAGGATCGTCCTGATCGAGCCATTTATCAGCCAAGATCAGCTTCACGAGGAGCAGGCTCTAAAAGTGACGCTCCTAAAGGAACTGAATCACCAGGTTGGTAAATATCAGAAGTTTTTCACCTGCTGCGCTTCTTGTCTACTTCTTAGTCTTTCTTTGGGATGTCACGCAGTATAGTCCCCCAACAGATGTCTTTTTTGAATAGAGCGCTCTAACGAAAAGTTGCAACAAGAGGAGATTAGTTTTCCTCAAGATAGTGTAAAAAAAAAGACGAGTATTAAATTTTGGAATGCAGAAAAGGGAAAATAGCATTAGGTAATTGTGTCCCAGACCTGGAGTAATGATGATCAGACAGAGAAATGAATAATTATCAATGATTATTTAACACAGTGTTCCTTCAGAATTCATCAGGAAACGAGGTAATTTTTCTTAAAGAATGATCTGTGAGCATTACTTCCCAGACTTGAGTGGTAAAGATGTGCTTTCGTCAAGCAAATTTGCACATTTCAATGTTTGCGGATAAGATAGAAAAGCTTATTCCTGTAACCATGGCATGAAGCGACGACTAGGAGTATCACTAATCCACCCTGGATGGGATTCTAGTCCATCGTAAGGTTAACACCACCACACCCCCCCTCCAGAATTTGATCAGGCTTTCCTGACAATCCACCGGTACCCATATGTACTCCTGGGTAAAAAGAGGCGCTGAAAGAGAGAAATGACTCGCAGAACACAACACATTGATTCAGCTTTGATCTCGAACCAGGACTTCTCAATCCGATTTTTTTCCTCGACTTTCCATGTAATTCATAACTTTGCCAAAGAAATGAAATATCAAAGATTTTCGATTTTTTTCTTTTAGAAAAAGAAAGAGGCAAGGACTCCAGGACCAAGGAGAAGAATCGTGAAGCAGAACGTGAAAGTAGAAAGAACCGTGATGATAAACCGCGCGATCGATATCGTGACGATCGAAGAGAGCGTGACAGAGACCGTGACAGAGATCGACGAAGCGATCGTGATAGAGATCGTGAACGTGATCGTCCGCGAGAAAAGACGCGTGAGCGTGACCAGGACCAAAGTGAATTCACGAAAGAAGAACGAGACGAGCGGAAAAAAGCTGAAGCCAACGAAAGCGTCTCCGACGAAACTAAGACAACAACTTGTGAATGAAAAATCCATCAATCCTTGTTTTTAATCTTGACGCCAAGTGCTTGTAACAAAGACTCCTCCGAAAAAATGAATACTTGATAATGCCACTTTGAAATTGCATGTTTAGACACTCTTTTGCAACCGTTACGTTAGCAGTTATGTACATTTAAAAATATAAATCTAATTATTGAAGACATAAAAAAAACAATTTTTCTTGCTTTTTGTTTAGGAGTTTAGCTTTTAAACAGAGCTAGCGTACAACAGTGACTTACAATTCCATGAAACTGGTGAGTTTCTGACCGTAGTAAAACTGTGCGCGCGCTACTTACAGGTGAAAATTGTATATTACAAGGGAATTACTCTAGTTTGATTTTACAATCTACAGCACTACAATATTGATATCAGTATTCACAGCAGTGCGTTTGTTTTGTACTTCACGGAAACTAGTAACATTTTCGGCAAACAGTTCCAATCAAGAAAAACTTGCAGATATATGATTTAAAGAATTCTAGTTATATTTCTGGTACCTTCAAGTTTTGTAATCATCAGCTCAGAAGTCCCGTCCCCACTCTGCCCCGTCCACCCTTTGGATCCTACAACAACCATGACCCTTCCTATATTTAGCAAACCACACCCCCATTCCCCACTTCAATACATTTCGGCAGCTCTCGAACCGGACTACTCGAAAACCGTGAATAATTTATTAATGAAACTAAGTGCCCATTGTGTTTGTAACAATAGGATCACGTGATCTAACTTTCTTGGAAAGCGCCTCGCGGTGGGAAAGTCTTACTGCGACATTTAAGGAGGAACATGGCTTACTTTTTTTCGATTTTCGTTAAAATTTTTGGTATCGTGGCCTGGTTTCTCAGCCGGGATATTCCTAAGAGATTGCCGGACGATCAGCTAACGAGTCTACAAGTGAGCGGTCTTAGTATGGATATCCTGCGCTTCTTGGTAAGGACACTTGCACCTGTCGATTATCTTGTCGTTGATATGATTTTCGGCCTCGTCGATTCACAAAAAGTCTAGCTGGACTTCAGCTTTTACACGCTGACACATAAAGTATAAATAAAGCGATCACAGCCACGTTAGAATTCATTGAGTGTTTATCATAAATTGCGAAACTTTTAAACGGAGAAGGATGGTCGATATCTATATTGTTAAACTACTTTTGAGTTGCGATCTATGACCTAAAAAATCCTCCAATTTTAAACAGAGAGCAAAAACGGACCAAGCAACTGAGAAATCAAGAAATCATTTGGCCCGCTTCCGCCCCTAAGCTTTGAAAGCGTCGCTCTTGATCAAAAAGTTTATTTTTAATTATTTATTTCTAGGGGTATACGGCTTCTTTATTTGGGATCGGGGAGTCTGCAATCGAAAATGTTAATTGGGGACTTCAGTGGTTATCATGGATGCACCCTAAGGATGAAGAATCAGAAAATTTATTGGAAATTTGGGATGAAAAGATAGCCAACATCCCTGTACGTTTTTATAAACCAAAAACCCTTGGCAAAAAAACTGCTGGTGTGGTTTATTTTCATGGCGGTGGATTTACTATTGGAAGTGTTGGTAGGTTATATCAACCCTTTAATTCCTAGAAGTGATCAAATAACATGTAACTTCGCCTAGTAATATCCATACATTATTCAGCAAACAGGTAATGAGAATACCCAGACTTATCAGGTAGAAATAGTTATCTTGATCTAACACCAAGTTCCTATAAATTATATGAAGGAAATGTGTAGCAGCTAGAGGGGAGAATTAACACTGATCAGATCTTGGGAGTTAGAGGGTTGATAGGGTAATTTATCAGTGCCTGCTGGTAACATCAGGAAACAAATTTTTGAATTGGAAAGGACAAAGAGAAGGGGAAATGGAAGCCTGGAAAAATTGAGAATGAGAGGTGAAAGAGAGGTACTAGGCCTGGACACAACATATTACAATAAACATAAATGATTAATTTAGCAACATGATGGCTCCTTTAAATCCTTTCTGTGGGCACCACATTTCCAACAAAATTAAGCCTTGAAACATGCCCTTTTCATCTTCTCAAAAATTTGCATCAGTTCTTCGTATTAATTGTTTTTATGAATTATTGTTTCAGATCAGTTTCATCTATTCACCCTGCTGTTAGCTAAAAAAAAGCAAATGTTGTGCTGGTTTCTGTTGAGTAAGTGTTCCACCCACTGAGTCTGGATTTCTACTGATGCATGGTTTTACAACATGATCTACTGAACCTTACAGTGGGCTCAGATTTCTTTCTGTCACCTGTCACAGATATTTCCAACATCTTTCTTTATTTGACCACAGAGCTCATACCATCTTTCTTGCCTAGAATCTTGATCCACACAAGATACTTTTGATAAGCTGATCCTAGCTACATATTCTTTGGAAAGCAGCTTGGTGGATATGCAGGACCTGAAAACCAAAAACTTCTCCTAGTTAACTCTCCCACCCCTGGATCTTTTTATTAATTCTCCTTACTGTCTGCCATACAATTTTAATGATGTTTGTTTGGAGAATTTGGTATTAGATCAAACAATAATTCTCTAATTGATAATTTTTTTTGATTCTCATTACTTATCTTCTTGATATTGTTTTGATATTGCTAGGAGAAATCTTTCTTAATCATTCTTTAGAGTTAAAAGGGTTATATGAGCTTAATTGATAAAGCATTCGGAATAACAAAATCAGAACCTTTCAAGACTCAATACCTTACACCTTTGAGAATGAAAAAATTATATTTTGTTCTTTATCAGCTTTATACCTATGCTTTTAAGCATTCGGAATAACAAAATCAGAACCTTTCAAGACTCAATACCTTACACCTTTGAGAATGAAAAAATTATATTTTGTTCTTTATCAGCTTTATCCCTATGCTTTTAATAAGTGTTTAATATTTCTCCATCACGCACACAAGTATTTTTGGTATAATAATTTCTTTGGACGCAAAAAGAGCAAATAAATACATTAAATTGGGAACCTAAAATTAACAAAAATCAGTATACTTGGTGGAATTGCAAAAAAAATGACCAAAACTTGGTTTGTTTTTGTATTTCTTGTGTTCTATTCATTTGATAATAAAACTACTCCTAATTCTAGCTCCTTTGCTCACAATGACAGGATAAATTCAAGATAATAAGACTTACAACTCATCACTACTCTGTATGTCTCTAAACTTTGTAGATACAGATTAGCACCCAAACACACCCTTCCTGCCCAGTTCCATGACAGTTATGCTGTTGTTAACACCCTGCTGGCCACTGGAGCGAAATATGGTATTGATACAAACCGTATTATTGTTGCTGGAGACAGTGCTGGTGGTAATCTAGCAGCTGCAGTTGCTCTCAAGCTTCGAGATGAGGACAAACATCTGGCAGCTGAGGTAATGTTACCTTGATCTACCAACCAGCCTTCGTAAGACCCTATTGATTTCTTTTTTGTAAAGGAAAGTTACCCCTAAATACCTCTATTACCTAGGTTATCATGGCAATCACAAGGTCACTGTGGTAACAAATCTTTCATGCAAAGCCAGCTACTTAACTGATCTCAGCTCATCATTGTCTGGCCTATTGCCATTTGAGTGATGAAACACCTTGCATGCTTGATTCAATGCAAACTTTATCCTTTGCAAGTCAGAGCCAGTTCTTTAGGAATTTTTCTTCAGTTGATGCTTTATTTCCCTTCACATACTGTTGTTAAATGAAGTATTTTAAGTTTACAGAACAATGTATTTGTGAAATGATTACATATGAGTTGCTATAATTGTTGGTTACATCTCAAAGGTTGGCTTTATTCGGGACCATGCAGTTGTTCATTGTTGCCTGAGGATGGAGGATTTTAGGGGGGAACAGAGGAGACCAGTTGTCACAAAATTGATTGCCAATGAGATGGGGGGGGGGGGCATGGGGGGGGGCATAAGAATATTACAGTGCCTTATAGGGGGATCAGGTAAATTTTATCCTGACATGATCAAATTCTTTTGATCCCCCTCCCCTCACTCCTAAGGCAAAAATGATTACTTGCTTTCAAGTGGTCTTAGTATTTTCTTGTGGGAAACATACATTTTTTAAATTATAGATCTCAACTAGAAACTAAATGTCAAAGATTGGGTGATTATTTTTAACTTTTCTTCTGTTTTGATTGCAGATTCTCATCTACCCTGCACTTCAGTTCATGGACTTTTCACTTCCTCGTATCAAAACCATGGCTCTCGACTCTTGTCATTGGAACAATTGGCAGGTTACTGGTCATATTACATGACAGGATCAGCTGACACGGTCTCATCCTTTTTGGCAAACAATCATTCCAGGCATCTTCGCAACACAAAGTACTCCTCTTACATTGGGGTTGGTGAAAAGGGACAACAAAATCAACAGAAGAAGCCATTACGTGGAATTCCAGTAATTGTTTTAGATAGTCTGGTGGACTATAGAGCATCACCTTTAATGGCAAATAGTTTAAAGGGGCTTCCTAAGACGTTAATCATTACATGTGAATTTGACATCTTAAAGGATGATGGTCTGTTGTACAGGGCTCGTTTGTTGGATGCTGGTGTCAAAGTGACCCATTTAAACTACATGAGCTACCATGCCTTTTTGGCAATTCAAGCATCACCTTACTTTGTAGCTGAGGAGTTTAATCAGGCATTGAGAGATATAGTTGACTTTGTGAAAGGAGTGTAAAAAAGTCTAAAAATATGCATAAATTTGATTAACAAAACATTTAAGGCATTTTTGAAGAAGACTTTGGTTATGAGAAATGGTTGTTGTAAATGTACGCTTCTAAAAATCTCCAGACTGCTTAGGTATGCTGACATACGTACCATAGAACTTTCAAGAACATTTCATCACGTCACGCAGTCATTACGTAATAGTACTTAAATAGTTCTTTTGTAAGCCTCTGGAATGTTCCAGAACACTTTGTGAATGTATATAAAGACTCGGTTAGGTAGTAGTAGTAGTATTTATTGTTGTTGTCAGGGGTGACCGACTGTTTAGAAAGCTATGAGAGAGAGTAACAGTAGAAGATTGCTAATTTCAAGAAACGTTGTGGAAAACCTTGAGTTCGGCTCAGGGGTGAGCTAAGATATTGACTGTAGTGGGCTTAAGTAAGTTTGTCGAGCATAAGTACTGTACTGCCTTCAGTAGTCGCTTGTTATTAAGAATATCAAACACTTGTTTATTGAAGTTGTTAAGTTTGTAGGATTGTAGTGTTTTTCTGTCGGTTAGATTATATCCATTCGTAACACATTGCATCCTCTTCGTCTTGATTCACATCTTGAACAGGGTATAAAAAGTATAAATGTCTAGTTAAGTTTATTTAAGCAAACAATTTTATGAGTTTTTTTTAAGACATTGCATGATCCTATCAATCTTGATTCATTCGTTCAAGAGAAACATTTTTGACACGTTTTGAAATGTTAAACTTCCGCACAAGAGTAACCCTGGACTAGACTAACTCTCAGGGTCTTAAAATACTAAACTGGAGGAGAATGTGCTGATTTTGCTCTGACATCTGCAAATGGTTAGACATTCTAGTCTTCTCGGATAAGGACGAAAACTGATGATCGGAGATAGTAAAAGAAGACGCTAAAGAACCCCACACTTCTTTCAAAAGTAGGAAGCCCAGCTCCCAGAGTTGTGATCTGGCCTTGTATTCGAAAAAAAAACTTCTAAACTGGGGCACCTGTCAAAATTCCTTTCAAGTATTGTAGACTGCTCAATGCAGTCTGGCCAAAGTCCCTTGCAAAGTATTGTTAAAAGCGTAATAGAGCATATTCACTTATATAGCGAAATTTTCATTTTATGGAAAATGCGCGAAAGAAATGCATCATTGTTTTATTCATTCCATGTTTGTTTATCAGCCTGACTGAGTGGCGCTAAAAGCAAGTGACGTTCAGCAGCCGATTGGCGAGTCAAACACGTGAAAAAAATATCGTAATTTTTCAGAACGTGAGTTGTTATGGCTTTTCTCAAGGCTGGAAATCCTTGTATAACACCGTAGATTATATAAAAATGCTACTAAACGATGACAAAACAGAAGTTCTGATGATTGGCTTTAAGTAGCAACTGGCAATCGACATAATTACAACTGGATAATCTGACTTACTACCTAAGTCTACCATCAATGGTAAAGAACCTAGGTGTGTTGCTTGAATCCACTTTATCGATGAATACACATGTTAATAAAATATGCTCAACGGCTTTTAATTATTTGTATGATCTAGGATGAATTAGGACATATTTATCAAGAGAGTCCACCGAGACAGTTATTCGTGAGTTTGTATTAAGTCATGTCCATTATTGCCAGCTTATCAGTGAGACAGGGTAATTTAGATTTATCAACTGAGTTGATAACCTGGACTTTCACTTAACAAAACGAGCACTGTGATTGGTTGATGTTTGGTCATGAGCCCCTGATCAAATACAATTGTATCCCGACCGGGCTACAATTGCGCAGTTGTCGCAAGCGCGCCGAATGTAGCAGCATGGTTTTGACATATGATTGTTTGAGGGAAAGTCTAAATATATAACAAAGCACTTAATGTATGGTCTCACGGGAAACAAGTTAGTTTTGTTTTCCTGAGAGTCCTGATGTTTCCCGAGATGAAGTCGAGGGACACATCAGGACTCTCCGGAAAACAAAACTAGCTATTTCCATCGGGACCATACCTTTAGTGTATATTGGCCACCGTTTCAACTCAGCCTGTTGTACTCTCCCACCGACGTAGCACCGCAATTTCTTTAGAAAGTTACCCCCTTTAACCATTTATCAGTAAGAGAAACTACAAAGAGTCCAGAATGCAGCTGCCAGATTAATATTTCAAAAACTAAGACATTGTCGAACAACTCCTCTTTTATGTAGTCTTGACTGGCTGCCAATTGTTTTTGCATAGAGTTTTAAAAGATGTTACTATTGACGTATACAATTCACGGTTGCGCTCCTGATTACATTGGGGAGCTTATAATCATTGTTATTTTATTATTATTGTCATTATTATTATTATTATTATTATTATTAATTGTTCATAAAACACATTGGTACTTGAGTTTGTGCTGTCCTAGTCAAAGGAAGCTTTAGTCGTTGCGTGACAGTAGGATCATATGATCCAGCTTAATACGGAAAAAAAATCTCGCAAAGGGAAAGTGCGCTGTGACATTCAAAGAAGATCATGGCTAACTTTTTCCTTATTTTCAGTCTAACTGTTGGAATCTTTTTTGGCATTATCGTGGCCTGGTACAATAGTCAGGAAATTCCAAAGGGATTGCCCGACGATCAGTTGATGGGTCTACGAGTTTTCGGTACTGGTATGGATATACTCCGCTTTCTGGTAAGGACACTTGCAGCTGTTGATTACTTGTCGTCGATAGAATTATTATTGAATGTTGGATTAGGTCGGTGGAATCACTTCGTCGATTCACAAAAATTTTTGTTGGACGATTCACTTTTCTACGCTGGCACGTACTGTCAAGGTAGAGTAACTAATCATTGCAGCCACATTAGAAATTATATGTTCATCACAAATTGCGAAATTATTTAGTTGACGGAGAAGGATAATCGATCGGGTTGCTATGACTCTATGACTCAGAAAATCCTCCGATTCTAAACAGGGAACTAAGAAATAATTTGGCCCACTTCCACCCCTAAGCTCTAATTGAAAGCGTCGCGCTTGATCTAAAGCTTATTTTAAACTACCGGTATTCTCTTTTTGCAAGGCGTCTACAGCTTCAGATATTGGGATCGGGGAGTCCGCAATGGAAAATACTAATTTGGGACTTCAATGGTTATCATCGATGCTCCCTGAAAGTGACGAATCAGAAAACCTCTTGGAAATCTGGAATGACAAGATAGCCAACATCCCTGTACGTTTTTATAAACCAAAAATTCATGGCAGCAAAAGAACTACTGGTGTGGTTTACTTTCATGGCGGTGGATTTACTCTTGGAAGTGTTGGTAGGTTGTAGGAGTCCTTTAGCTCCAAGAAGTGATAAACTAACAGTCATGTAACTTCCCCCAGAAATATCCATCATTATCCACCAAATTAGACAGGTGATGAAAATACCCAGACTTATCAGATAGAAGCAGTTACCCACATCTAACACCAAGTTCTTGTAAATTATCTAAAAGGAACTGTGTAGCAGCTGGAGGAGAGAATTAACAATCAGATTTTGGGAGTTAACCCTTCAACTCCCAAAATCAAATGATTAATTCTCCCCTCAAGCTGTTACACATTTCCTTGTAAAGTAGTAATGAGAATTTGGTGCTAGATTAGGATAACAACATCTACCTGATAAGTTTGAATATTCTCACTACCTATTTGCTGGATAATGTGAGGATATTATAGGGAGAAGTTTGATGTTGATCACTTCTGGGACTTAAAAGGTTAAAGGGTTGATAAGATAATTTATCAGTACCTGCTGGTAGCATCAGGAAACAAAACTCTGGAATTAGTTTATTGAGGAAGAATTAAAGAGAAAGGGGATTAGAAGCCTGGAAAAATTGGAAATGAAAGGGTGGAAGAGAAGAGAGAAAAAGGATCAAAGAGGGATTACATGTGCAGAAACAGGATTTTGTGAGGGTGGAGGGGGGGAGGCAGACAAGGAACATGGTAATGTTTGGAAGCTGGAGCTCTAGACACAACATATTGCAATAAACATAAATGAATAATTTAGCAACATGAAAGCTTCTTTTAATCTCTAATGTGGGTACCTACATGAACCCTGGTTTTTTGATGTTGTTAAAAATTTGCATCAGTTAACAATAATTTTTTTTTTATAAACTATTTCTTCAGATCAGCATCATCCATTTACTCTGCTGTTAGCTAAAGAGGCAAATGTTGTACTGGTGTCTGTTGAGTAAGTATTCTACCAACTGAGTCTGGATTTCTACTGATGTATGGTTGTACAACATGATCTACTAACCTTGAAAGCAAGTTCATGTTTCTTCCTTTCACTTGTAGCAAATTTTGTTGTGCTCTATTCATTTGATAATGAAAATGAATCCTAATTTGAGCTCTTTTTCTTGCAATGACAGGATAAATTCAAGATAATAAGGCTTACAACTTACCACTGCTCCATATGTCTCTAAACTTTTCAGATACAGATTAGCACCCAAACACACTTTCCCAACCCAGTTCCATGACTGTTATGTTGTTGTTAACACCTTACTGGCCACTGGAGAAAAATATGATATTGATACAAACCGTATTATTGTTGCTGGAGACAGTGCTGGTGGTAATCTAGCAGCTGCGGTTGCTCTCAAGCTTCGAGATGAGGACAAACACCTGGCAGCTGAGGTAACAGAACCTTTAACCAGCCTTTCAAGACCCTATTGATTTCTCTTTGCCAAGAAAGATACCCTAAAATAATTTTTTTGCTTAAGTTACGATGGCAATCACGAAGACACCATGGTAACAAATTTTACTTGTGGTCTTACCAGTGGAAGCATCCATTTCTTACAGTACAGATCTCAACTGGAACTAAGGGTCAATGATTGTGTGATTCTTTTCAACTTTTCTTCTGTTTTGATTGCAGATTCTCATCTACCCTACACTTCAGTTTATGGACTTTTCACTTCCCTCGTTTGAAAACCATGACTCTCGACTCTTGTCATTGGAACAATTAGCAGAGTACTGGTCATATTACATGACAGGAACACCTAACATGGTCTCATCCTTTTTAGCAAACAATCACTCCAGGCATCTTCACAACACAAAGTACTCCTCTTACATTGGGGTTGGTGATAGGGGACAGCAAAATAAAAAAAAGAAGCCATTAGATGGAATTCCAGAGGTTGTTTTAAATGGTCTGGTGGACTATAGAGCATCACCTTTAATGGCTAATAGTTTAAAGGGGCTTCCCAAGACATTAATCATCACATGTGAATTTGATATCTTAAAGGATGATGGTCTGTTGTACAGGGCTCGTTTGTTGGATGCTGGTGTCAAAGTGACCCATTTAAACTACATGAGCTACCATCCTTTTTTGGCAGTTCAAGTGTCACCTTATTTTGTAACAGAGGAATTTAATCAGGCGTTGAGAGATATAGTTGACTTTGTGAAAGGGGAGTAAAAAAAGTCAAAGTCTGTTTACAAAAAATGTTAGGACATCACATACCATTTGTTTTGATTTACATCTTGAACAAGTATAACAAAGTATAAAAGTCTGCTTAAATTTTTATTGGCAAAAAATTCTAAGGGTATTGTTTGAGAACAAGAACATTGCTTGATATCCCATAAATCTTGATTCATCCATCCAAGAGAAACCCTATCGACTCTATAAAAAAAAAGTTAGACATCCACACAAGAGTAACCATGGACCAGATCAGCACTCAGGGTCTTAAAATAACAAAGAAAAACATGCCGCCTTTGCTACGAAATGGTTAGACATTCTAGTCTTCCTGGATAAGGACAAAAACCAATGGCTCCATCTCCTGCATCTTCTCAATACAGGTTAGCAGGATGTGTTAACCTTTTAACTCCTAGAGAAGATTAACATGTAACTTCTTTCTCTAATATCCTTACCTTATCCAGCAAACTGTTAATGAATCAAACTTGACAAGTAGAAGTTGTTTTCTTCATCTGATACCAAATCTTGCAACTGATTTACAAGGAAATGGATGGAAGCTGGAGGGGAGAATTAACAGTCAGATCTTGAGAGTTAAAGAACTGCAAAAAGAAGGGAATGTAGTTCCCATTCTGGCCTTGTATCCCACAAAAAAAATTCCTAAACTGGGGGCACCTAAAGAAATTTGTGGAATGCCCAATGCAGTCTGGCCAAAGCAAAGTATTGTAAAGTGTATCAGAACATATTCATTTATATGGCATAATCTGCATATTATGGAAAATGGACTATAGAAATGCATCATTGGCTTCACCTTTGTGAATCATGTTTGAGAAGTTAGACTTTCCTTAGGTATGTTTCAGCCAAAATAAATTTTCTAAATATCTGAATCTTTCCTGCTTTGTTTACACATTTTTGCAAGCTATTTCAACTTTTCTTTCAAAAAAAAAAAAGGGAAGTAATGGGAATGACAAAAATATGCACAATTTAATGATCAGCATTGCTCAACAACTACCTAAAATATTTATAGTCACTGGAGTGGCTAGGTAATCATATTTTAAGAATTAAATATCACCAATTTTGACAAATATGTTCACAATAAATATGCACAGATAGTTCACTATCTCCTACAAGTATACATCAATCTTATAGCATTAGTAACTTTGTACAAATTAGTGAAAAATATATTCAGCAGTGTTAAAGTTATTCAGAACAGAATCTTGTAAAACTATTTACCTCCGGAGAAACTTTTCAGAGTACATACATTTGTGTTTAAAAAAATATCTTAAAAATTATTTTCTAGCATTGGTTAAAATGACAAAGCCCATGTTTTTAAAAAATCCAATGGCTAAGAAAGTGTGACATACAATATATCTACAGGGTACTTGATTATAAACTAAACCTACAACTAAAACCAGACTTGAGCGCCAAGTTTAGGCTTTCCTTGTCTTTAATGGTGATGTTAGAGACTGATGTGGTTACTAAAACTAGCTGGATACCATGTCTTTAACATACTGTACTATATCAGCAAATGCCTCATCCCCCTCATCTGTCCTGGCTGGTCCTCCCTCAGCAGCTAATGTCACAAACCCATGAAAAGATTGATAGTTCTTGTGTTGGACTTCAATGTTTGCATCTTGCAATCGTTCTACATAAAGGATGCCTTCGTCTCTTAAAACGTCAAAGTTTGCTGTAATAACAAAAGTAGGAGGTACTCCTCTAAAGTCTTCTGCTATTAAAGGAGATGCTTTAGATTGGGTCAAAGCTTCCAGTACAACAGGTGGTAGTGTTGTTTTCTGTTGTGGAAGCCATGAAATGCCTGGTGTTGACTTTCTTAGAAACCCCATATACTTTGTTCCAAGGAGATGTTGAGAGTGATTCCCAGACAGAAGAATCTCCATGAGGTCTGTGGAGCCATTAAGGTATAGTGAAACAAATTTTACATGCTCTTCTTGAGAGAGTATGTCATTGACTGCATTGGTAGTGTATGATGGCAAGTTGAAGTCAAGGAACTGTAAAGCAGGATAGATGAGAATCTACAAGAAGAAGAACAAGAGATCTAATGACAAACTTGATCTATACATTTGATGCTAAGTCCTGAAATCTGACCCAGTACCCAGTGGTGGCAGGCAAGCAGTCTTCAGCACCACTTTGTCTTTCTTGCGTCCATAATGCTGCCTCCTATTATTGAACACCTCAAATGTCTCAAACTGCTGTATAAAGTTTTAGCCACTCAGTCAAGTATTCAACAGAACCATTAACCCTTTACTTCCAGAAGTGATTTATAAATAACTTCTCACTAAAATATCCATGTATTATCCAGCAAACAGGTAATGAGAATATTCAAATTTACCAAGTAAGAGTTCTTGTTATCTTGACATACATGTAACACCAAATTCTCCAAACTAATTTACAAGGAAATGTGTAACAGCTAAAGGGAGAGTTAACAATCAGATCTTGGGAGTTAAAGAATTAATAGGGCAATGATTAATTCCAGTTTCCTGCAAATTGTATTTTACAGCTTGAGGTATGTGATTATTCACGAAGGTTTAACTGCAGATTTACTTCCATTTCACTCATGTAGAGGTTGCTTGCTTTAGGCACTGTACTGTCATTGCAGCCCTGAGAATAGTGATTGGTTTGAATCTCATTCTTTCTTCAATTATCAGATTTTATTTTCTCAACTTCTTTACTTGTGCTTCAAATATATGAGTTTCCTAAGATTACATTCTCACTAATATACCTGTGCTGAATTTATACATACCTGTGCTTTCATATAATTCTGCCTACAGTGCATCTCGGAGACTTCAGCCAGGTAATGAGAAACTGCTGCAGCCAAGTTTCCTCCAGAACTGTCACCAACCAACATGACTCGTGTGACATCAACTCCATGGTCTTTTCCAGTGTTGAGGAGGCCAACAGCTACATTGTAGCAGTCATTAAACTGGATTGGATAAGTATACTTAGGAGCTTGCCTGTAACTAAAAGGAAGTAAGTATGCTAAGGTTAGTGACCTTTAATGTTCCAATAATAGGCAAGCAATGAGGTTGGTGATTTACAATAAATACCAAATTTGCAATGCTGTCTTTTTTGCAGACCTGTCAGGAAACAGTTTTAAATTGTTTTAAAGCATTAAGAAGATCCCTGTTCTTGTAATCGGAGGATCAATTTGATTGTTTTTGCTTTTAGATGTCTGTTACAGTAAAGAGTGGCAGCAGGATGAAACAAAATCACAAGTTTGGCTGTGAGCCTCAAAGAGAGCACATTATTGAAAGGTGCAGTAGCCCCTAACTTCCACACGTGATTAAAAAGTAATTTCCCCCTACAATTTCGATACATTATCCAGCACTCAGATAATGAAAACAGACAAACTTATCAGCTAGGGACTTTCATCTTGATAAATCACCAACTTCTCTTAATCAATTTTCAAGACTATACAAAGAAGGAAGAAGAGAGAATTTAGACATGACCAGTAGGAGCTTAAGGAAGGTGCAAAACTAATTGTGAAGTGACTGCAAAAATGAACAGTAGTGTTGCAGTCCTCTTACTTTTTACTTTATTACATATTAGCTGGTACACACTTGACCATTGTAAATTGTTGGAAAACAAAAGAAGCAAAGTATATTTTTTAGTAAATTAGCCAGCAGAGTTTTATCAGCCAGAGAATTATAATAACGTTTCTTACTCCGCACTCACAACAATGACTTGAGCTGACACTGCCAGTCTACGGCAGAAATCGTCATATCCCTCTGAGGAGAAGAAGAACTTAAGCATTAATCATAGGATTATGATTAGAAGCTTATCACGTTCTGCCTGTCTGATTAGTTCTCCACAAGGATGTAGCTAAAGTTTCTAACAGGTGGGTATTTGAGCCGAAGGCCCACTCTAGCATGCCTTTGGCACGTTATACCTAGATTTGAAGGTGTAAACAAATGAAATAAATAAATAACAATCAACTGACAACATTTACAAACATTTTGGAGAAAGAAGTAGTGCTTCACAGCCAGAAAAATTGCGTTCACAGCTGGGCAATTTTCCCGGCTTCTGGCTATTATCTACATCCCTGTCTCCAGAGGTATTTTTTCTTTTCAGTCTATTGTGAATGTTGTGAACTTCTAGGACATTGCAAAAAGCAGCTTTTCATAACAGGAGGGGTATTCATAATGGTGACAGGGATGAGTGGAGTTCGATTCTATCTGTTTTCACACAAGTGGTTTACAAAATTGAACGAATGCAAAGTGGGAGTCTGATTTCTTAATCACAAGTATGATTACAGACATTATCACACGCAGGTCATAATCAGTGACTGAGACTGAGACAGAGACAGACTGAGACAGTCAGGACATTTTTTTCTTAATCAAAAAGGCACCTTTGGCAATCAAGAGGGCATGATTACTTGATACTGATTGAACCTTTTTGCTGTTTGCAGCAACAATTACATATATACAAATTAGACAACACAACATCCCGTTACCAATTAATTAAAACTGTGAAAAAAATTTGAGAAAGAATTTAGACATCAGTGATGAAACGACATACATAGACAAGGGGTGTCAACTGTCCTATTAAACTGTTCTATTATGAGCATGAGGTGTACACTGTCCTATTGGTGCTCAAATTGGGCTGTTGATAACCAATCAGGTTCAAGAATGTTGTTATTATAATAGTTTTGATTATAAACATATGTATGTTAGGGAATATTATAGCCTCTGGAAGAGAGCAGCCTTTTCCTCCCTGTCACAATGACATAGATGTAACTTACCCAGGCTTCCTATGGCCCATCCTCCACCATGAAAGTAAATTACTCCTGGTAAAAGAGTTTCTTCATTGGATTTGCTTTCAGGAGACCCCTTAGTTTTGTTCACTGGCTTGTATATCCTTACACGAACACCAAAAATTTCAGTGTCATTTATTTCCAAAACATCAGAGTAACTATTGTTCTTGTACAATCCACTTGCAAATGCTAACACAGTTGCCATGTTGGAGTAATAGTTTTCACCCAGTCCAACAAAAGAGCCAATGTAAGCCTGGAAGAAAATCACTGTCAGTCACCAGTGTACTAATTTGAGCAAGGGTAGTCTGTATAAGTTTTTGCTAAATTCCTTGTTTTACATTATATTGAATGGCTGTTGGACTGAAGAACTATTTGTAAACTTCAATATAACTTATTCTGAGCCCTTTTTAAATTGTTGTTCAGGCTCCTCTACATTGGTATATTAATTCAAGAATTTCACTGTTATATATATATCAAGACAATGCCTTCTCGTTGCTATGTTTCCCATTTTTCATCAATCATTCTTAGGAGAAGTATCATCTGAATCATTTCTGGGAGGTATGGCTAATTTGAGGTAATTCTGTCAAAATGAAGACTTCAGCTCCGAAGGTTATGAAGAGAGTTACTGTCACAGACAATGTTAACAATCCTTTCAAGACTTCCGACCCTCTTTGCAATCCCCAAATTGGTCTAATTTTGCAAGGATCTAACACTTACACCTTGTTTTAAAGAGAAACATTATTGAGGAGCAACACTATTCTCCTGAAGGCAACATACTCAACTTAAAGATGGATGGTAGGGAGTTGCTTATGTTTAAAGGGAGTTGCATGTTAACAGAGTCAAGATGGTTTTTAAGGTTGTATTACCAAATGATCATTTTGCTTCAGCCAAGTAGTCATTCTAACCTGGGTAATTTTCAAAAATAGGTGGATTTGATTGATTAATCAAGAGGTACAGAAATTCCCCATCCCACATCTCACATTGTGGGTAATAATGCTCTTCATCTGGACATGCAAATCATAATCTATAACTCATACCTTAGGGCTGTAGGCTGTGAAGTGGAGCTTAGTATCCGTGGGGTTTGAGCGGCAGGATACAACTCTGCTTTAAAAAACCTTCCCTGGGGCCTAATGTTATTGTTTTCATGACAGAATGCATCCTCATTTGAGAACATGTATTAAGAGGCTGTATACATTGTATATGCGCTTG